TGCCCCAAGAGGGGCTGTGGGCCTCAGTGGGGAGTCAAGCCCTGCTCCCACCCTCTCGGCAGCATCCCTGGAGCTGGAGCTGCATCATGTTTCAAAGGAGAGTTTTTAAGTGAGCCCAGACCCGGGAGGGCTGTAGTTTTGGGGGTTGCAGTTGGCTACCAGGGGCTGCTGCAACCCACCCCCGGGAGCGAGGGAGTCCTGAAAGGAGGGTCTCCAGCACAGCCCTCCCTGCCCACGGGGATCTGGTTGACCCCCATGTGTGCACTGCCCGCTGCACATACACGCAGCCCGTGCCATCCTGCCACTGCCCCCAGCACACTCTGCCCACCCAACCCCCCGTATCACCCACCTTCTTTACCCTTTGAGACCCCACAGGCCATGTAGGCACCACAGGAGCAGTGGGATGGGGTGAGTGTGGTGGCACCAGGGGCACTCAGCAGCCCCCTTGGCACTGGGTCCCTGGTGTCAGGGACAGCTTGTGCACTGGGCACACGTGTCACTGGAAATGTGGCCACAGCCCAGTTGTGCCAGCGCTGGTGGGATCCTGCAGCAGTGCCAGTGGGGCTCAGCACAGCTCAGAGCACTGCTGGGACCTCCCTGGCTTTTCTCCTGTTAATGGGAATACTGGAATGGAAGTGCTGGAGGGCTGGTGCCACCTCCCAGCCCAGCGTGGTTGTGAGGATGGGCACAGCAAGCTGCTGGCACACAGGGTGCTTCCCTCTGTCCCTCTGCCCTGGGCTGGTCTGGGAAAGAGGGGTATGGGGGGGGCAGCCCCACATCCCCACCGAGCCCCAGTGCCCTCCTGAGAACGGTCCTTAGGATCACGAGGCAAAGAGACCATCTCCTGGTGCCAGTCCTGTCTGTGCCAGGAAACAGCATGGCATCAGGGCACGGATACACTTCACAGGGCTTCCAGCAAGTGCCTCTTTGAAGCCAAAACAAATGAATTATTCCATTTAATTTGGGGGCACGAGCAGCAGCGCAGGTGGCAGCGCTGCCTCTCTTGGCACAGCAGCTCCCAGCTCTGCAGTGTCCCGTGCCCACCTGTGCCCCACAGCATCCTGCTGGGCTCTGTCTGTGCCTGTGGGACCTTCCACCCCTCTGGAGTGTGATGATGTCCGTGGGGGTGCAAAGGGGAAGGAGGGGGAGCTGGAAGGGAGCCTTTTTCCCGGCCAGGAGGAAAACGGATCGAGAGGAGCAGGGGACAGCAAGGGGACAGCTTCAAGCAGGCAGCTCCGTGCCCACCTGCCGGTGCTGGGCTGGGCAGCAGCTCCCCGTGGGGCTGGGGACACAGGCTGCAGCTCCTCGGTGTCCCCGGCTGCGGGCAGGCAGTGCCAGCCCCTGGCCAGAGGGGCTGAGCTGTGCTGGCCGGGTGATTTCCAGGCCGGGCTCCCGCCGGGCGCTTTGATCCCCCTCCCCTGCCTGCTCCGGGCGGACGTGCCCGGCTCTGATCGCTGCAGCCTCGTGGCTCTGCACGGGCTCTGGTGAAATATTTACACCTCCCTGCCCTTTGAAGTGCGCCGCGCTCGCAGCCCCGCTCCCCGCTGCCGGCTCCTCTCTTCCCAGCCACTCGGAGCTCTGAGCTCAGCCCCCCGTGCCAATCCCATGGCATAAGCCAGGCTGCATCCCACCTAGCCAACCGGCCCTGCTCCTGGCCTCCCGTGCTGCTCAGCTTCCTGGCAGAGGGGGAAAAGGATGCCCCAGTGCAAGCCAGGGGTTTCTTCTATCCTTGGCGTGATGTGCCCGAATCCACAAACGAACATCCCTGCTGAAACTCATGCCGTGGTCCCTTCCTGCTCTCATCCCATGGAGTCAGTGATCAGCCCTGGGCTCCACAGCGAGCTGGGAAAGACCCAGTTCCACGGGGTAAGTTTGCCCTGTGCTGTCAGCACGTTCCCACTGCACCAACAAGGCCAGCACAGCGGGAAATGGGAGCTTGCTGAGGGCTGCTGGGCTGGACACGCAGCCACCTCCCGATCCCTCTGGGGGCAGTGGGGGGACAGCCCCGGGCAGTGAGTGTGGCACCACTCCCTGTGGCACCACTCCCTGCCCCTGCCGTGGCCCATTTGCTGCTGGCTGTGCTGGGTGGCACTGGCTGTCCTTGTCCCTGGAGTGCCACAAAGCTACCAAGAGCGTCCCCTGAGCACAGGGGCGGGGGGCTGAGGTGTGCAGGGTGCACTGTCCGTGGTGTGTGGCTGTGCCGGTGTCAGGCAGAGTCCCTACTGCAGGATGGACTGGGAGCCACATCCTCACAGTGGGAAATCATGGAATTGTTTAGGTTGGAAAAGCCCTCTGAGAACATCGAGTCCAACCATTGACCCAGCACCGCCAAGTCCAACACTAAACGATGTCTCTCAAATCCTTTCCTTTCCCTCTCCCCCAGGCACGGGGGGATTTTGGAGAGCCTGGGTGCTCTCCATGAGGGTCCCGCCTCTGCCATCTCCCGGTGGCTCTGCAGAGACACCAAGCACACCCTGACAGCCTGGGGACAGGGTGCTCCAGCCTGTTGTGGCTTTGTTTCGGTGCAGGCACCTTCAGGACGTATCACCAAACTCCCCGTTAGCTGCTCCAGCTCCCTGACAGGGGTGATTTTGCTGGAACACCATCTCCCTCTTCAGTGAGGAGGAAAACTGGACACACTGGGAAGCTACATTTGGCAATCCAGGTACCAAATGGGCTGTGCTCTCTGCCTGCCTGCCAAGGGCTCTGCTGGCACAGGGACCCTCACCCTCTCTGGAGGGGCTGGTACTGCTTCCAAACGTGAGACCCAGTCTCCTCCACCCTGGGAGCCTCAGTGATGCTCTTCACACTGGGGGGAAATCTCCCCTGCTCTCACTTCAGATCCGAAAACACAAATGGGGACCCCCTGAATCATTTGGGGTACAATGGCTGTGCCTGGGGGCAGTGCTGGTGCAGGGCAGGGGGAGCACTCGGGGCTGCCCCATGCCCATCCTGTGCCCTACGGGTGGCTGTGGCTTCTCCAGCCCTCTGGAATGCTGCAGTGAGGGGCTCTTCCCCACCTCACCCTCCAACCTAAGCCTCTGGATTTTGGGAGGGCTCTCCCAGTACCTTGCCTGGGGTGCAGGAGGCTTCTGCTAGCCCTGATGCCCCTGTGGGGTGGGAAGGGCATCCTGTGCAGGGTCAGGCAGGAGTGGAATTGCTGCTAATTTCAATCCTCTGGCATCGGAGAGGAGCCAAACTTCCTGATTTATGGGTTGGCGGCAATAAAGCTTCGCTTCACTGCAGAGGGAATTCACCCGCCTCCAAAACAAGGTTAAATAAATAGCTAATGGGAGTGCTCAGTAATCCCACAGCACACACACACACCCACACCCCGGGGGCATTCCCTGTGCCACGCTGGTGGTGACACAGCCCCAGTGTCCCAGGGGTGTGCACACACAGGGCTGAGCCCCCAGCGCTGCCCCCAGACCCACAGGGGTGCTCGCACACACTGGGACACCCCCAGTCACACCAGCACCCTGGGAGGGTGGCAGGGTCCCCCAGACCCCCCTGCCTGGATCAGGCAGCACCAGCCCAGGGCTGTCACCTATTTAGAGATGAGCAGTGGCACTTCCATGAGAGCCTGGATCGGCAGAGGATGGAGATGTTACGGAATGGCTGAAATGCATCCGGACACATCCTGCCAGGCGTGTGTCGGGTGTGATGCTGGGGATGCAGAGCTGTTCTGCTCCAGGCAAGACTTGAGCTGGTGTCCTGGTGACATGGAGCTGAGCAGTGGCAGGCACAGGGCATGGCATGGTCTGGTCAGCTCCAGCTCCGGACACATTTCCCAGGGATGGGGTGGTGTCCCATCCATATGGGGATGGAGCAGGTGGACACAGGGAAGGATGCCCTGGGGTGATATCCATCCCACAGACCATCAGCTGCTCAACCCTGCCTGAGGTTCCACAGCACTGCTGGGGCTGCTGCAGCAGGATTTTGGGAGAAAAGGGAATTGCCTGCATGGCACAGGGTGTTACAGAGCATCCCAGCCCTGCAGGAGGGGAAGCCCTGGAATTCCTCTTGGCCCTCTCTAGTCAGCCCCCAGCCCTGGCAGGGGGACACCAGCACGGTTCTGCTCAGCAGTGGGACCTGCAGCACTCATGGGGTCATCCCCAGAGGAAGCAGAGGTGCCCTGGGGGTGAGGGGCAGGGAGCCAGGCTGCTCCAGCTGCACATCCGCGGGGGCCGGAGGGGCAGGAGGAGGGGGAGCACCCCTGAGCCAGCTCCAGAGGCCCGGCACCTGTGTGGGCTGTGCATGGAGAGCCTTCCCAGCAGCGCTGGCACATTTTTAGACGTTTTGTTCTCCGTGTAAATCCGTCTCCAGGAGTGTGGTCGATTGGTTCTGTGCCGGCAGCCACCTGCTCGTGCTCCGTGAGCAGGACCCTGCACCCAGCGCCGGGCCTGGAGCACCCACCGGCACCCAGAGAGGGGGCAGGCAGGGGACAGGCACTGCTGGGCCTCTGTGCTGTCACCTGAACAGGCTGGCAAAGCGGGGTTCTCCCTGGGATAGGGGAGAGAGGGATGGGAAGGAGGGTTTTGCTTCCCAAATCCGCAGCTGAGCCGTGGGGTATGGAGAAAGCCAGTGTCCCCAGCGGAGAAGGGACCAGGAATGAGAACTGCCCCGAGCTGAAACTGGGGACGGGGATCAGCTCCTGGACACGCTTGGAGCGTGGGCCGGGCAGGTTGGAGGTGGAGCTGAGCGATGCAGGAGAGGGGCTGCAGGTGACCCATCCGGGCAGGACGAGGATCCTGTTGTCCTTCATCCCGTGTCACCACCGTGCTCGGCACCCACCTCGCACGAGGCGGGTGACACCCCGGGGACAAAAGGCCCCGCGGAGAGCTGCCCGCACTCGGCTCCGCGGGCATCGCGGGGCTGCCGGGGAGCCGCTCCCCCTGTAATTGCGGTGTGTTTGCTGCGCTCCCGCTTTGCCATGGCAACGCCTGCCTGGCGCGCCGGTGCTGCCTCGCAGCACATATTGTTTCGGAAAGGTCACCGCCGAGTGGTGGTGGGCTCGGCACAGCGCTGCTGCTATTTCTACATATTTATGAAGGGGGAGATGGAAGGTAATTACGGCCCCTTCTCCGGAATTAATTTCACGATGGGTTGGTGGCGGCGCTGGGGACGAGCCCTCCGCGGTGGGTGCGGGTGGCTGAGCTCTGCTGCGGGGAGACTGGGCACTGGCGCATGCCAGGCAGTGGGATTCAGCTCTGCAGGGCGCCCCGGGGTGTGGGGCAGCATGTGGGGCGTCCTGTGGGACTGTGGAGCACCGGGGGTTGCCGTGGAATGGAGCACCGTGGGGTACCACGGGATGTGGCATCACGGAGTGCTGTGGGACAAGGACAGCCACGGGCAGTGCCAAGCCCCAGCCCTGTGCTCCCAGCTGGCTGGGAGCTGGGAGTTAAAGATGACCCAAAGCAGCATCCCTGGATGGGTGGCAGTGCCACTGGTGCCTCTAGTTCCTCAGGGACCCGGGGACTCCCTCCTGTCCCCAAGGTGGACCTGGCAGAGCCCTGGCTCCCAGCAGAAATGGGGATGGAACAGCATCCCAGTGCCCACTCCCATCCCAACACTGCCAAAACAAGACAGAAATAAGTTTGGGAGGGATATCCCATCCCAAACTGACGTGCCACCCAGTCTTGGGAGCCATCCTGTCTCTGGATCAGCACCAATCCTGCCAGCCCAGCACAACTGCCTGTGTTTGGGTGCCCACCTGGGGAGGAGGGCACAGAGAAGGGGCCTCCCGGGCTGCCAAGGTCCTCACATTCCCTTTTCCAGGATCGCCTCCATGCCCCCCACAGCCTCCCCAGTGCCCGGGGAGCCACCGGGGTTAAATATTCAGGAGCACTCGCTGTGCACATTTTGTAAAGATCAAGCGGCTCCCAGGCCCGGCAATTCCCTTCCCCTGCTGCCGGGGATGCGCCTTAATGAGTTTGCAGAATGATACATTTTTAAAGTCATTATTTCCGGACATGTTCAAAGTTCCAGCATTTCCTCCGCTCCAGTTGTGCAGGAGGGCACCCCACTGTGCCCTCCCCGCGGGGACCTGGATCCTGCCGGGGGGGGCACGGAGGGGGTCACCCACAGGGAGGGGGCACGGGGGGTTGTGGGGGGCACGAGGGGCTGTGGGGATGGAGCAAGGAGGGGTCTCTGAGGGGATGGACCCCCCGTCTCCTCCTGGCTCTGCCACAGGTCTCTGCGTGGCCTGGGTGTGCCTGAGGACACTGATCCCTGTCCTGCCTGGGGATGTGGGGACATGGATCCCTGCCCTGCCTCAGGGCAGTGGGGATATTGAGCCTTGTCCTTCCTGGGAATATGGGGGCACTGATCCCTGTATTCCCTATTGGAAATAGGGACACTGATCCCTGTATTCCCTATTGGAAATAGGGACACTGATCCCTGTATTCCCTATTGGAAATAGGGACATTGATCCCTGTCCTTCCTGGGGACACTGATCCCTGCCCTACCTGGGGCATGTGAGACATGATCCCTACCCTTGGGACACGGTGACACGGATCCTTTCCCTGCTTTGGGACATGGGAGCACTGATCCCTGCCTTGCCCGGGGACATGGGGACATGGATCCCTGACTAGTAGAAATGGGAATATTGATCCCTGCCCTGCCTGGGGCCATGGGAGCACTCATCCCTGCCCTGCCTCACGGCAACAGGGAGGGGATATTGATCCCTGTCCTTCCTGGGGCCATGGGAGCACTGATCCCTGCCCTGCCTAAGGGTTTGGGGACATGGATCCCTGCCCTGCCTGGGGCTGTGGAGAGATGCTTATCCCTTCCGTGCCAGGGGACACGGGGATTCTGCTCTGTGCTGTGCCCAGGGGCAGCCCAGCAGCAGCTCCCGTTGCTCTCGGCTCGCTGTGCACAGGCAGGTGCAGGGGCAGGGCCCCAACCCCCTGCAGAGCCCACCAGCAGCAGCCCCCTGGTAATTGTGGGTCTGCCTGCACTTAATCACAGCCTTCGGAGCAGGCAGAGGGAGCAGCAGCTGGGAAGTGCCATGGAAACCACCCCAGAGCTGCACCCCGGGCTGGGCAGTGGGCTCCTGGTACCCACCAGCTGCCTCCTGCCTCCCTTCCCACAGCACCATCCCGCCTTCCCGGCGCTTCTCTCCACTCTCCAGTGCTCCCTCTCTCCCCCTGCCCACCCTCTGCTCCAGTCCCTGCTTCCTGCTTGGGAACACACAGGATTATTTCAGGTTTCAAGAGGTATTTCAGTTCTGGGAGGGATGAAATGTGAGGCACCGGGGTTTGATGAGCTGGGGGTGAGACTTGGGGTAGAAATTTGGGGACTGGCAATGCCTACCACGTGCCACCCCTGATGTCCTGACGTGCTGCCCTCCTGTGCCAACTGCACGTGTCCCAAGCCTGTGCCAAATCCTCACCCTTCACCTGGGTGTGGGCAGCTGCCCCTCGGCCACCAGCTTTGTGCTGCCGGGTTTGTTCCATGACAGGGGCTGCGTCTGTGACTTCAGGACTTGCATCCAGGGAGAATTCCAGGGCACTAGGTGCCTGTGGTGCCAGCCTGGGTGTTGGGTGACCACTGACTCCTGCAGACTCACCTCTGTGCTGTGGGACATGATGTACCTGGGGTAGGTGCTGCAAATCTCGCCCATGCCATGGGGTCCCCACGGGGATGAAGTGGTGGAAATGGGGATTGAGTGCCTGCCTGGAGCTACAGGCAGGGAGGGCAGGGCAGGCGGAGAATTCCAGGGACCACCACCTTGTCCCTCCCCACACCTGCCATGGCCAGTGAAGGGATCCTGGGGAGGGGGCACAAACCAGCACGTGCTGCTCTGTGTGAAGTAGTGGCACTATCTTACCAGGATGCAGCTTTTAGGGACACTTCTCAGCCTCTCCATGGCCTTGGAAGCTGCTGGTTCCATAGTCTTCCCCCACATGGAGTCTGGCAACTTTGGAAGAGGTTACTGTGGACATGAGGATCTTTGTAGCCAGCCCACCTGCCCTCCCTCCAGCCCAGAGAGGGCACCTGGGGGCTTCCTTGCCATCTGCGACCCCACACACGTTGTCCCCACTCGTGGTCACGGAGGTGGGAGTGCAGGAATCACCTGGGGGATGCCAACAAACCAGAGCTCTGTGGGAATCCTGACCCCATGGGCTGTGTCTGGTGGTGTGACCTGGGGGACACCAGTGGTGTGGCCACCAGAGCCAGCAGCCCAGGTGAGCAGAGCTGTGGGATCGATCCCTGGGGAGATCCAGAGGGAGAGGGCGGGGGGTAGGACACAGAGCATCACCTGGCAGAGCCAGGGGTGATGATGATGCCCTGGAAGGGTGGGGGGCAGCAGGGCTTGCCCTGGCTTCCTACCTGGAAGACTCAACAACTGTGCAGGATATTTGGCAGATGCTTGGACTCCACTATGCACCCAAAAACTGGGCAGGAGCATCAGCACTGGTGGCAGGTGGGGAAGCCTGTGGGGGAGTTTTGGGATGCATTCCTTCTCACAGCATGCCATTGCTGCCTGGACACCTCGGCGTGGCTCCAGATGGGTCAAGTCCATCAGGTGGGGGCTCTCTTCTCCCACGGATTGGGGTCCCTGTGTGGTCTCGGACCCGGCTTTGTCAGGACAGGCAGCAGGAAGGCTCTGCAGCCACATCCTAAACTGCACCGGGAGATGGAGAGATAACGGTGCCTCCAGGCCTTCGGTAAATTATCTTGCCTGTATGTTCATTAATCAACAATTCTTATGTAAACAGACACATCCCCAGCCCTCTGCTTCCCATCACCCTGGCAACAGCACAGAGCCGACCCTCTGCTCAGGATGTGCTCTGGGCTCCCACCTGCTCTGCAACTCCTTCCCTGCCCGCAACTTTTTTCCTGCTGCCTTTGCTTCCACACCTTTTCATCCCCTGGGACTTGAAAAAGTCTTCAGGTGCCTCTTGCCCAGCGTTGGATCCTGGATCTCCCCAGCATTAGATCCTGAACCTCCCCATCCTGGGATCCTGGATCTCCCCCTCTCCAGCAGCTGCTGAGGCAGGAGCTGGGAAGCAGTGGGGTGATGAGGACTGGACTTCCCTGCCATCCTCCCTGGCCAGTGCCAGGCCATGTCCCGGAGAACACAGCCCTTAGGGATGAGTGCTGGATGCAGGAATCATGGCAAGGGCCAGCCAGACCCACGGCAATGCTGCCAAAACCTCAGCCGGGCTCACACTGTGCTGTGGGTCCAGCAGTGACCACGACGTGCATCTCTGACCCCCCCTCCGACATCCATCACCTTTCCCTGCCTTATTCCTGTCCAGATGGTCTCTCTGGGAAGCTCTCACAGTGCAATGGGAGGATATTCCGTCCTGCTGACTCCATCAGGACCCTCTACCAGGACAAGGAGAAGTCCTGGAGCTCTCTCCGGATCCAGGCAGGAGCTGCCAGAGGAATGTGCTTCAGGCAGGGCACTGCTGCCTCCCAGGGCTGCCCCCCAGCAGGACAGCTCTGCTGTGGAATAGAAAAGCTCTGCATGGAAGCTGATAGAAGCCAGAGGAGCCCAAGTCATTTAAGGTTGAAGAGAAATGTTAAAGACGGCAGGAAAAGCAAACATTAGTGGTAGCCATGAGGCTAAGGGGAATAGGAAGGGCTTTTACAAATATATCAAGGGGAAAAGGAAATACTGGAGAGTCAAGACAAAGTGGGCCCATTAATAAATGAGGAAGGATATTAAATTAATGATGATTCTCAAATGGCTGAGTTAGTGAACTACTTATTGAGATCTGCCTTTAACAAGAACAACAAGGGAAAGTGGCTGAGACAATCAGAAAGCAGCGAAGGATGCTGGAATTGTCCTAGATGGAGCAAGGGGAAGGGGACAGCTGGGCTATGAGCCCCGGATGGCAAGTGCCTGGGGTCAAGCAGCACTAGGAAAAGCCCACCCCATCCATCTCTTCCTCGGCAGGAGCAGAGGGAATGTGTGTTTGGAGCAGACCAGTGCTTGGCAAAAGGCCCAGAGTAAATAAGGGGTCTGTGGGGACCACGTCCCCTTGCCTTGGAGTGGGACAGGACCACGGCAGAGCTGGAAGGGAGACTCCCAGGAGCCCCAGGCACAGCCTGTGCTCCACAGATCTGGGCTTGGAGACTGCCAGGGAAGAGCCTGGATGGAAATGGGGAGGGGGAAGAGGTCCAGACAGCTGGACCTGGTTCATTAGAGTTTGTCCTTGTACAGTAAGATCCTCCAAGATGCCCTGGTGCTGTTTATCCTCCCATTTCATTGGCACTGAACAAACAAGTGACTGCCCAGCCCAAGGTCGCTCCTGTGCCCAGAGGAAAAGCTCTGGGAAGAGAATTTTCTGTCCTTCTAGGAAGCCTGAGAAATCCCCAAAGATTCTTCTGCTGCCACAGCCTGAGGGATGGCTGGGAACGGTGTCCCACAGGTGGGGTGTGTGTCCAGATGTGTGGAGCATGTCCCATCCACGGGGAAAGGTGTTCAGTGTTCACCTGAGGATCCTCAGCTGGGATGGGATGGGATGGGATGGGACAGGAGCGGATTCAGTGGGATGGGATGGGATGGGATGGGATGGGATGGGGTGGGATGGGATGGGATGAGTTGAAGTGGGATGGGGTGGGATGGAATGGGATGGGATGGGATGGGACAGGAGAGGATTCAGTGAGATGGGATGGGTTGGGATGGGGTGGGATGAGATGAAATGGGATGGGATGGGGTAGAATGGAATGGGATGGGACAGGAGAGGACTCAGTGGGATGGGATGGGGTGGGATGGGATGGAATGGGACACGAGAGAATTCAGTGGGATGGGATGAACTGAAGTGGGATGGGATGAGGTGAGTTGGAGTGGAATGGGATGGGATGGGTGCATATCCCTCAGCAGGGCTGGGCAGACATGTGGGGCAGACCCCCCCCTCCTGAGATCTGGGGGCTCAGCACACCCCACTCAACCCCTCCTGCCCCTGCCCCGACGAGGTGCAGGAGCCCCAGGGCTGCACGGGGTGGGCACAGGGATGAAGGACGATCCCTCTCTGTCCCCCCCACCCCAGGAGCTGCACGGTGGCAGTGCCCACCCTCAGCCAGCCGGGAGCAGGCGTCCCGTGGATGTGCCATCTGACAAAGGGCTCTGTGGGGGACAATGTCCGGGCAGTGAGGGCCCTTGTCAATGTTTTATGGGCCCAGGCATCCCCAGGGTGTGTTTACGGGGCAGTAAATTAAAGCACTCAGCCAAGTGACATTTGTGTTCTGCAAATGCGATTATTATGCATGATTAGCAGCCAAGTGCACTGAAAAACCCACACTCAGGGCGGGCAGGAGCGGGACGCCCGCCTGGCCCGCGGCTCCTCATGCCGGAGATGCACCCCGGGCAGGCACCTTTTCCCTGGAAAAGCCTTTCTGCGGGACAACAGCGAGCCTGGCATGGGCAGAGACCCTGGAACCACCACCTTGCCCCTCAGCTGGCTGCTCCCCCCCTCCCCAATCCCAGCCTGCCGGAGATGGACCGTGCCAGCCCAGGACTTAAAAGATTTCCTTCCCAGCTGCCAGCCCGACTTTCCAGAGGAATGCATCCAAACCCACTTTTATTTTTAATTATTTATCTGTAACCAATTTGGCAGGAAAACCAATTAAACGAGTGGGTGATTAATGACCTGCTGATTTGCACAGGTACCTAATTTAAATGTCTATATAATATATAAGCACATTTTGGAGATGCTTCGATGGCTCGGTTCAGTCCCAGCTGCTCGGACGTGTGTTGGGAGGATGACTCCTGGGTGAGCCAGTGCCACCATCCTGCTGGAGCATCCCGTGCTTCCTGACGGCTCTAGGAGCATGGGGGGGGTGTGTGTTTATCCCAGAAATCCCACTGTACTTGCCCCCCTGGCCAGTGCTATGCTTGCCATGTCTCCTTTGCTGGTGTTTCTCACTTGGAAAAGTCTGACCCAGATGGGAAGGAGGCGGATTTTGTCTCCTGGGAAGACAACATCCCTGTGCCAGAGACAGGGAGAGACAGGCTGGAGCAGCTGCCTAGGACAGGATGGAGCTGGTGTCAAACTGTCCCCTCGGCCCCCAGGACACTGGGAAGGGGCTTTTGCAGCTTAAACCAGTGCTCACACCTCAGCCAGGTGCAGATTTGGGTTGTCACCAACCAGAAGCATCCAGGCTCTTCCCTCCTGCTCCATGTGGCTCAGAGCATCTCTGTTCTCCCCACACCATCCATCCATCCCACCTCTTTCTTGACTGTGCTGTGTCCAGGCACTGTCTGTGAGGTGGGTGGGTCTGCAAACAGCCTCCTTGGTGTCCCTGATGCCAGCAGGCTGGGGACATGGCTATGCAACACCTTTCAGCTCTCAGCCCTGGATCCCAGAGGGAGAGTTTCCCTGGTGATGGACAGCAGGACCTGTTTCTCCATGGCTGTTCCCCACTGCAGCCCAAGGCTGGGGCCAGTCAGAGCCAAGGCCAAGGGCTGCCAGACCCCCAAGCCTCCCTGTGTCCCTGCCAAGCAGGGCTGTGCTGCTGGCTGAGACACTTTGGGGATGGAGGAAGGGGATGCTCCTCAAGGAGCAAGGGGCCAGCGCAGGGAACGGGCCCATTGTTGCGATAGAAATGGTAAATCCATTAATCTTTACGGATACAATTCAGCACACAAAACAGAAAAGGGAGAGAGACACCTCATTTGTTATCAGGTGCATTGTGAGAGTCAGGTTCTTTAATTATCTCACCAAATTCTACAGCCCATTCATCAAGTCGCCACCACCAACCTGCCGAGATTGCCACCCACAGACCATCTGGGCCCCGCCGAGGGAGCCGAGGCGCCGCCGGCCCCCGGGCACGCCGGCACGATGCTGTGCAGGCACGGGGGCTGCCGGGAGTGCTCCTCACCCCCTGGACATCCCTCAGGGCTCCCTGCCCCGGAATTCACCTCCTCAGGGGCACAGGGCAGCCCAGCACTGCCCGTGTTGTCACAGAGTCACAGAATCATAGAATCTCATGGTTTGGAAGGGAATCATCGAGTCCAACTCCTGGCCCTGCACAGGAAACCCCAACAACCCCACCCCGTCCCTGAGAGTGTTGTCCAAATGTTCCTTGAGCTCTGGCAGCCTTGGGGCCATGACCACTGCCCTGGGGAGCCTTGTCCCCTGCGTGGAGAGGTGGCAACCAGGCCAGGGACATCATTGTGTCCATTGGGACTTATGGAAAAGAGGGAGAATGATTTTTTACACAGGCAGACAGTGATAGAACACAGTTTTAAAGCAAAAGAAGAGAGATTTAGATAGGATTTTAGGAAGACATTCTTCCCTGTGAGGGTGGGGAGGCCCTGGCTCAGGTTGCCCAGAGAAGCTGTGGCTGCCCCTGGATCCCTGGAAGTGTCCAAGGCCAGGTTGGACGGGGCTTGGAGCAACCTGGGCTAGTGGAAGGTGTCCCTGCCCATGGCAGGGGGTGGAAAGAGATGGTTTTTAAGGTCCCTTCCAACCCAAACATCCTGTGATTCTATGATGATTCTATGACATGGCAGCATTCCCAGGGGAGAGGCTGGGGAGGAAGGTGATTGGGAGTGATGTCCTGTGCACCAGTGTCTTAGCAATTACTGTGGGATGAGGGAATCATCTCCCTTCCCAGGGCAGAGCCTGGGACTTGCACATCCTGGGGCTGGTGTGGCTGCAACACCCTCATAGCTCCTGATGCTTCTGTTTGGCTGAAGCTTCACCTCCTTCCTTGCCTGGCTCCCAGAGTCCATGAGCTCCCTGTCAGGGTGTCAGCCACAGCTCTGCACCAGCAGCATCCTGGGTTTTGGGGGTCCATTGGTTTTCTCTGGCACAGCTGCATGGAAGTCTGGCTCAGCATTCTCTGCCATGGGCACAGTGCTGGGCGGGAGGGAAAGCTGCTGGGATGGACACAGGGAAGCAGAGGATGGTCATGGCAGCAGGTATGTGAGTGAGAAAGATGGAAAGGAAAGGGACCGGAGATGCTGAGAGGTTGGAAGCCTGTCTGGGATACATCAAAAGCAAAGTCTGAGAGGTTTTTATCAGAGCAGAGAGATCTGAGCACCCAGGGGAGATCCCTGCTGGGAATAAATTATCCATAGGAATAAATCCAGAAAGGCAAGTCGTGGCTGCACCCGGGGTGTATGGGTGAGGACGGGGTGCACAGCCTTGGACTCCTCTGTCCCCAAGCAGGATTGCTCCTCCTTCACCCTCTGCCACTGCCCTCCTGGGGACTGAGGAGCATCCCAGCTCCTGGCAGCTGTGGATGGAGCAGAGGGAGCAGGTCTGGGAGTTCCTGGGGTGTGCTGTCCCATGGAGGGCTGGACAGGGCTCGTGGCCCCCCCACACCTTCCCCCAAACCTCTTGGGAGGAAAACTGGATCCGGCCCATCTGGAGTCCAGATCGGCTGCGGTGAGTAATCAGGGAGTGGGAGGGAAGGCAGACGTCTCCCTGCTCTCCCAGCAGCGTGGAGGAGAGAACAGACTATCCTGGGAGCGCAGATGGGGTGGCACTGCACCACGAGTGGGGTGTGCTTAACCCTGCCGTGGCCAGGACGAGCAGGGAAGAGGGAGCTGTGATCCCCTCTGCCTTCATCCCCCGTCACTTTTCCAGGGGGCCAAGGAGGAGACATCCCACCCTGGGCACTCCAGGTGATGGCCATGGGCTCCTCCAGTCTGGGTGACCTTCCACAGCACAGCCCACAGGCTGCAGCTCTGTGGCTGCACTTCAGCTGAAGCCACGGCTGGGGACAGGAGAGGTAAAAGCGCTGCGGGTGCCCTCAGCAAACACTTCACTTGGTGTGAAATCTCGAGCAGGAGCCACCTCGCAAAGGCCACGCGCAGCCGGCGCAGGCAGAGATGTTCCGGCAGCGCTGTCACTGAAATCACCTCCTTTTTCCCCGAGGTGCCAAGTGGGTTTATTTTAAGGCCTGACAGAAAGCCAAGCTTCCCCTGGGTGCAGCGATCACACAGCAGCCGTGCCAGGTCCCGGCAGGGCGAGGAGCAGGGACCAGGAGCAGGATGCTCCCCCCGCCCCGGGAGGTTTTTATCCCTCCATCAGCACCGCTTGCTCCGGGGCGCTGCCCCCCAACCATGTGCTTGGTGCCTTTGGGAGAGGGCCAGGGAGCTGCCACGTGGTGTGTTCCACCCAGGCAGGTCCTCACACAGCCCCCAGGAGTGCGATATCCCGAGGGGGATGCCCTTGTCCAAGCACTATCTCCTCCAGCCTGGGCTGGAGCGGCAACGTGATTCAGAAGCCAAGTGTCTTTTGCTGTGAATATTTGTTCTTTTCTCTTTATATTTTTTTTTTTTTTTTTGGTCAAACGAAAACATTTCTGCAGGGAATGACTGTGACTGATTACATTTGTCAGGGTTTTTATCAAGCAATTGAAAGAGCGGGAGATTTTTTGGAAACCAAATAAGTGAAATATTTTGGCTGGTCAAAATTGTTTCCAGTAAAAATCTCCAGAAAACGCGGAGAGAAACGGTTGTAGGAAATTTGCAGCGCAAATTAAAATGTGTTTTTTCCAAGGGAAAACAGCTACTGGGAAAATAAATTTCTTAGCACTGTTGGTGGAAGGATGTTCTGCACCAAAGGCATTGCTCTGTGAGAGCATCCTGGGGTGTTTGGCCCTGGGAATGTGGTGCCAACCCAGGGAGTGGGTCCAGATTTTGCCTCACTGTTCCCCCAAAATATCACCTCTAGGCCACAGTTAAGAGGTTCCAGGAGGAGTGTGGTCTCCTGAGCACAGGGGAGTGAGTGGAGGGGATGTGGTGAGGAGCCCCTTGGCTGGATGCTGGAGGAAAGCTCAGGAGGTGCCTTGGGAATAGGATGTACAGTAGGCAGGATGTTGAAGGAATCTGTGCCATGGCCTGGATGCCCTGTGCCACCCCACTGTGGAGCTGTGCCATGCACTGGGGACCCTGTGCCACCATGCCATAGGGATGTGAAATTCCAGCTGGACCTCATCTTAGATGTCCAGAAATTATGGGGCAGCTAAACAGGGTTGAAATATTCAGCAAAGTCAGGCTTGAGCCTGTGGGGGAGGAACATGGACCAGGAGGCAGCAGGAAGGTGCTGGAGGCAGAGTTTGGAGCCTCACCGAGCCCACTGTGGGCTGTGGTTTGGGATATCTTTGTCCATTTGGGATCTCTGCCATGCTTCCCATTGCTCTTGCTGCTGTCCCAACAGCTTTGGGGCTGTGAGAATCCTCCTCCTCTCTAAACCCTGTGTGTCCCCGGCGTGGCACAGACCGGGCTGATCCCTGACCCTGGAGCAGGCTGAGCTCTGTGAGGAATGAGTTGAGCTCTGGGTTAAAAATAGCTCATGACCATGCAAATCTCTGGCTGGATATTAATGCAGATGCAAATAGGTGCTGGCAAAGCTGGCAGAGACGCCCTGCCCAGCCATTCCTACCTGGAATTTGCAGTGTACAGGCTGCTGACATCGCTGGGAGGGGGGATTTGTTGGGCTGGGTGGCAGAGGCTCGGAAAGTCACGGTATGTGGGTCAGAGCAGTGAGGGGAGGTGGATTCCCTATGGATCACTGCTGCCCTAGGCTTGGTTGGTGTCTGGGGAAGCTCCCATGGGATGAAGAGGAGGAGGTGGGTCTGGGGAGGGCTGACCACCCTTCCCACCGTGGCTTCCTGTGGGTGCTGGTGGTCGGCACCCCTGAAACCAC